CTTTCTTTCTTTCTTTCTTTCTTTCTTTCTTTCTTTCTTTCTTTCTTTCTTTCTATCTTTCTTTTTCTCCCTCTTTCTTTCTCTCTCTCTCTCTCTCTCTCTTCCTCCCTCCTTTTCTTTCTCTCTTCATTTCTTTTCTTTTTCTCTTTCCCTTCTTTCTTTCTTTCTTTCTCTTTCTATCTCTCTTTCCTTCCTTCCTTCCTTCCTTCCTTTCTTTCTCAGTCAAGATTTTTGCAGAGGACACCATTCCCCTTCTAGAGGGAAACTAAAAGAAAACAGGCCAAGCCTCCTCTAACTCTAGTTCTAACATTGGCACAAGAGGTCACTTGCCTTTCAGATCAATTGTACTTGGAAGCGCAGCAATAGCTTCAGAGCACTTCCTAAAGGAAGCAATTTATTTTTTTTAACCACAGTCATTATATTTCATGATAGCACACACATCCCTGAAAACACCTGAAACAAGACAGCCAATAAGGGACAACTGACAGACATGCTCCACGGGGCAGAAACAAACTATGTAGGTTTTCCAGGAGGACAAGGCAATTTTTTTCTGAGACTTTGGAAGAATAATTCCTATCGAGCAATCAAAACAGGGGAGACCAAATCTCACTTTTGCAGCATATCCTGTTCTGTTCCAACTGTGGGCTCCATTTAGTAGGAAGGCCAGCCCAGAAAATTTTAACCATTACAAACTTCGCTCCCAATTCCAATGATGGAAGTACTTACACACTGCTATCGGTCATTGACATGGAATCGTCAGTCAGAGCGTCGCTAGAAATTTCGCTGTCGTTTGCACTAGTGGCAGGAGCAAAGACATACCCAGAATTCACATGATACGGGTTAACTGGATCATTTCTCTTGAAGGACCTAGAAATGAGCAAAAACAGTGAGCCCCGTTAGTCTTTGAATGCAGGAAATGCAAACTTTAGGAGACCAAAGGGTAAGGTAGCCGTTACTCCAGGAAAACTACAGACCTAACATTCCCAACACTTGGAGGGTGGGGGGAACCCACACAGATTCCATGGGATTCTTGAAAATGAGAAGTGCTTAAGATGGACCACAGTTTAATCTTTCTTCCCACTGCTTTAAGCTTTCCCACATAATTTCATAGGTCGCCTGTCTCAATGACTTCACAGGATATTTTAAATTAAGGATGGAGAATCTGGAGGTCTCACAATGTTTTTGGACTTCATCTCTCCTTCACTCCAGCCGCTAATTATGGGATTGTGGGAGCTTCAGTCCCAGACCTCTGAAGGGCACCAGGTTGCTTATCCATGACTTCAAGGCACCAACTATTGAACTGCTTTCATTCCTTTCCTCCAAGGAGCTATCTTCAAGTATCTCTACTCTTAACTTAACCTCACAATAAAACCTCTGAGGTAAGTTAGTCATATTACTGAGCTTAGTTAACCCTTTGTCTTCCTGGTCTATGTTTTACCAATTTACACACTTGCCTTCCTTCTAGGTCTTTCAAAGATGATCTGCCTCAGGGGTGTCCAACCTTGGCAACTTTAAGACCTGTGGACTTCAACTCCCAGAATTCCTCAACCAGCCATGTTCGGCTTAGGAATTGTGGGAGTTGAAGTCCACAAGTCTTAAAGGTGCCAAGGTTGGATACCCCAGGTCTAGATAGGGTGGAAAAGGGAGCCGTCGATAAAAGTAAGCCTTTCAACACCTTTTTTAAGCATAGCCCCATCTTTATCTACCCTGAAATAAGATCTTCTTGTGAACAGTTGGACTTTGTCCTAGTTAAGCAGGCAGAGGTTGCATTCATGAATGCTAAGCCTGCTTAACTAGGACAAAGCCCAACTGTGCACGAGAAGATCTTCGTTTATTTCTCACATTTGCCATACGAAAAAGTGCTCTGCAATTTTGTTTTAGAAGTAAAAACGCTATAACTCTATTGCACTTTGCAAAACTGACACTCTACACCAGGGGTGTCAAACTCGATTTCATTGAGGGCCATATCAGCATTGTGTTTGACTTTAGGGGGCTGGGGTGGGTGTGGCCAGGGTGGGCGTGGCTAGCTTGTCACTTGTGTTGGGGGTGCCTGTGGCGGTCTGAGCACTCTGCCATCAAAAATGGGTTCCCAAGTTCCGTTTTCAGCTGTGATGGCCTCCTGCAACCCTCTGCCAGTGAAAATGGAGCTCTGGAGGGCTACCCACAGCCCTCGTGAGCTCCGTTT